TTCAGTGTGTTATCAACGTGTTACCCAAAGACACTTCTATGCTAGAGTAGTCCAGAGGATGTGTTCTCTGAGTTACTTTTCTCTATGATTTGTTGGTAAAAGTGAAGGTTGTAGTCTTATCATGTAGGGTCCACTTGGATAAATGGAGTCACTTGTTTGTTTAGGAATGCTTTATAGATGACGTCATAATACAAATGATATAGATGAAACTGATTAACCAACAACAACAAAAAAGAGGTTTCCTGCTTTCATGCATGGCATAGTACCTTTTCGTCTAAGCAAAAAGACAAGGTGAAGGACCCGTCACACTCTGTTGTAGTACGATGGAAGCTTAGGGCACACACAGATGCAGCAGAGATGACTTTGACTGTCCTTCCAGTCTTGCTCAAGTCGGATCCTCATACCCAACTTCGCTGTCCAGGATTTCACTCTGCACAGCAGGTGCCTTTGGGTGTTTCAGCTTCTGTCCTTCGGCCTTGGTCTCCGTCCCACCTCCTCTCCTCGGTTCCTCAGCTGCACTGTACCTTTGCTGTTGCGTATTGCATTTCCCCCTTTCACCTCCCAGGTTGCCATTTCTTTCCTTTTCAAAATGCCAAACAGATACCGCCTTGCCAGTACTATCTAGCTTATGTTATCGTTACATTTCAAGAACTGTTTATAGCATCTATTTATCTGTGTAGCGAAATTACAGATATCAAAAATGCTTACGTGTCAGCTTTAAAAATCACAAATAAGTAACTTTGCAAATTTAAAATGAGCTCCTGCCACTCGGAGTACAGTGCCTTTCAGGGCCGGCACAGCGCACCTGAAGGTCCTTGCATTTACCAGGCAGGTGCTTAGACTGCGGAGCTATGTCCCCAGTCCTTATAGTGCCTTTCAAATTACCCTGAAAGACCTGGGAAGGTGACACGAGGTGGGCAATCTTCCGGGTTCTCAGCCTCTTCAGTAGCGCCTTTTAGGTTATTACAGTATTCTCGTTTCACTCACGAAGAAACTGAGGCTTGGTATGGCTGATTATCTTTCCCCAAGCCCAAGTCTGAAGAGTCAGACTCCAGACTCTAATAAGCACTTGCCTGGCAAGCGTAAGGTCGTGAGTTCAATCCCCAGTACCGCAAAAAAAAAAAA